TAAAATTAAAACAATTTTCTTTCTTTCTTTTCTTTTTTTTGGATTGCATTTTCATATTTTTCACTGCTGTTATTGCATTTCAAGCTTTAATTTTACGTGTTTTTCTTTCGTTTGCTTCGTTGTTTCGTTTGGTTTGGCGAGGGCCAAAACGTTCCTCCCTCCAAACGTTCCGACTTAAAGGGCTCATGATTAATTAACACGAGATGAACTTTCAAGTTTATACCAAAATCTTACAACTTGCACAATAAAACACTTCTGAGCTTGTGTTTCTGGGGATGTGTAAACTTTTTAGGTGTGCAAGTAAAATGAAAGTTGATCGATCGTCTTTGCATCGCAAGAAGAATTTTTTGTTTTCATCTCCATTTTTTTTCTTTTCTCTAGTTTATATTAAATTATTTCTCTCGGGGAGGGCATACTGTCTGAAGCACACAGTTCGCTCTGGTGGAAGTGTTTGATTGCAATAGACCTTTATATCTGCTGTATTGTTCTAATAAAAAGGTTTTTGAAGCAGTCACTTTGTCTTGGAAGTGTTATTATATACACAACACTGAGATCACATCACATAACCTCCTTGTTTTCTGTGTTAGTTAACACTTTACTTAAGCTGCAGCTGAGTTCCAAGTTTTAAAATATTAGGTTGTAGATGATTTACAATCCTTCTTCTACCCACACTTGGGTGTTGGGTATGAAAGATTCCATACATGTCAATATAAAGTAACTGCTCATGTAACCCTCTGCTCTGGGGTTCCTTGTGTAGTGGCATTCAACAACGTCCTATCACCTGATGCAGGCTTTGCTGACACCTTACTGGATAGAGATGCCAGCATGTGGGAATTGAACTTGAGACACTGTCTCCAGAGGCGTGTAGTCGTACCACTATGCTATCCAGCTTGCTCAGACAGAAAACCTGCAGTTGCAAATCTTTTCTTATTGATAATTTTCCTTATTTTTTAAATTTAATGTGTGTTTTAAAATGCGTTTTAAGTATAAAAGTGCAAAAGTCTTGATGGATCCATCATTTCTCTATATTTTGTTAGGAAAATAGGAAATGGGTGCTGTGATTTCTTGAAATGTGCACACATACATGGCAACATTAAGGCAAAAATGGAATTGACAAGCTTGAAGGTGAATATTTGGTATGAGCACCTTTATTCTTCAACACCGTCTGAACTCTTAGGCAGTTTTTTTCCTTGTAATCTCTTTAAGAGTCTGGAAACATTCAGAGATGACTGATCTGTTTGATTAGATATTTTTGCTGTAAGAAGCAGTTGATCAAGTGCAACTATAAATATTTAAACAACTAAAGGAAAAGGATAACACAAACAGTTAACAAAAGAATAAAGGATTTAACATCCATTTTTTTTTAATTATTCATATAAAAACAGATCTTATTGAAAGACCAGTTCACAAGAAAAAACAGTAAATATTTAGACTTTTGGAAAACCGCATCATAACACAGTCCTTTCCTCAGATTCACTCTCATATACGTGATTCAAAAGTCTCGTTGCTAAAAAACAAAAACAGTCGAGCATGCCTTTTCTAAATAGGTGAGGAACAAACATCCTGTACAAATAAATGATGAAAGAACAAAAAGGAAATATTCTTAAAACCAGAACGCTATAAATACATTCTTTAACCAGAAGAGACAAACAAATACAGTTAAATTAAAAGCACTTTGGTCTTCCTCCTCAAACACACTGAAGATGATTATGCTCGCATTTTTATGAATGAAGCTTGTTCCAGTGAACCGAGGCAACCATTTGTTTCTTTTCCGTGGGCATCATTACTTCACGTACCGTTTCGGATTTAATTCACACAAATCATCAGTACACACGCTGAACTAGCATTCGCTATAACACCAGACACACACAAACTGTATCACACAGAGTGATGTAAAAAATATTGTTGATACAAAGTAACTTTTCTTCCATTGAGAACGTGTTTTTAAAGTGCATGTCTTTGTTCACACACAAGAAAGACTTCACTGAAGCGTCGTGCACACCAACGTCTAAAGGAGCTCCGAGCGTTCAACAGCATTTTATGTGAAGTCCAGTCAGTTTATAAAATATCTGAGTTGATTGTGATCGCCTTTATTTAGGGTTCAGTTTTATTATTTGAATGAACTTCTAATTGAGATTTGACCTGGTGGAGTGAAGGGAGAGGCAGAGATCTCCAGTACGAGTTTCCGTTTCATTTATCCAACATTTTGCTTTTTGGGGATTGTCTTCTTCATGCTAGGACAGCTGAAACTGTTTGATCTGGGACTGGGAGTCGATAATGAAACCATCTGCTATGCAGGTGCGCTGCTTAACGAGCTGTTGGACACATTACATTTTGGCAACCTATGTTTATGCTGTTATATGACGTATCCAGAGAAGTTGCAGTTATCAGTTCACATTTTAACATTAAAACTTCAGTTTGAGATTTATCAAAAATCTTTGTCGGTCCAGTCATCTGTGTATTTAAAGGGCATCCACACAGGAAGCAGCTAGTGGTGGGGCCCAAGGTAAGCTTTCCTCAACTTAGAGATGAATTGATACTGGCTGTTGTTAATCGACACGTTAGCGGGTTGAAGATACATTAGAGCAGATGTGGGCATTATCTGACCATTGGTGGCCCATGATAATTAAAAATTTTTTTACTCATGTGTGTGCAACTAAATACAGTGGTAATAAAAGTATGTTTTATGAGATGTGGCTGTTTATCATTGTCTAAATATGAACTTAAGTCAGAGGTAAAGCTGTGTGGTCATTTGGTATGTTTGAATCGCTATTACAAGACTAATCATAAAGAGAAATACAAGAACTTGACTTTTTACAAATCGACACATCCAGGGAGAGAGCAGTCAAGACCAGCGTTGCGATTTTGTGAGATATCGCCCAAAAAAAGTAAACAATAAGAGTCGATGTTTGGTGGAGAATGTGCCCCTCTCTAGCTGAACCGTAATAAGATTGACTGAGGACACTGCAGGAAGTCTAGAGCTTCAGTTGGAAAAACAAAGTGGACAGATTTGACTTTTCCTCTTTGCCCCTGGATGAGACGTGTCGTCTCATAGTCTAGACAGACTAGTTACTAATTTTTGTCTGTAAAAGAACGGAAGGAAAACATATTAGAAAACGGGGCAGCAACGCATGCTTGGATAGGCTCGAGATGATGGGGTCTACAACTGCTGTCG